TAGTAAGCTACATATCGTCTTCCTCTGAAGAGGCCTTTATGATCCTATTTGAAATGAATAAATATTTGTGTTGCCACATAGACCAGGTATCTTTTATAGTAGTGGATGGATCATCAGATTATACACTAAGAACTCACTGTGTGATAATATGACGGCAAGCCGACATCAAAATTACTTTCAAGGGTCGCAATTCAGTTAGGATCAGGTCTCCGCACGGCTATAATGTAAAAACCTAAAAAACGTCAAAAAACGACGGAATGTCGTCCTGCAGACTAGACAGTTTTTAAGATGAAAACATACGAGCCCTGTCCAGCTTCAGTTGGGCTACACACAAAATTTGTAGTTTTTTTGGCTTTTATCGGCAAAAAACCCACTAGAATATAGGAGATATAAAAGATATCGTAAGATATAAGACAAAATATGGTATTTATAGCAATTTAGGAAATATATGGATTCAATAGAGTATGTTGTGTCATAAAAACTGGACAACTGTAAGAAAACTTCAATACCCAAATATTGCTAACGATGATTTCTCAAGACCGTCGAGGCAACAATGCTTGTTTGTCAACGACGCTCGCTTGTTTTAGCGAACCTTAGTTTATCAGGCGGCCTTACCTCGTAGTTGCTGTCAAAAATGGGCAGAGGAAAGGCGATAGATGAAAATATTCGATCAATTATTATTAATTTGCATAAATCGGGAAAATCAAACGGTGAAATTGGAATATTGGTCGGGTTATCTATATACAGTGTTCGAAATATTGTAAGATTATACGAATCAAATGGTTCAACTGCCCAAAAATCCAGATATGTAAAAAAATCCAAATTAACAGACCCTGGTAGACGAGCTTTGGGCAGAATTATCAAGGCTAATAGACGTGCTAACTACGGAGAGTTGAGTGTGCTCTGGAGTGAAGCTGTTGGAAGACGTGTTTGCAGGTCTACGTGTCATTGAGAAGCAAGAAAACTAGGTTATGGTACTTACAAGGTAATTTTCACGATTTCAATCCTAAGCAACAAGAGATAATTATTGTTTTCTTTGGAGCAAGCTAAAGAAAAACCATTATTGATCCTAAAGCAGAAGCAAAACAGGTTAAAATGGGCTAAAAACAATCGATTGGGATATGGAGAGGTGGAATCGTGTGCACTGGAGTGACGCGTCACGATTCGAACTTTGCGTCGGAGATAATCGGAGCAGAGTTATTCGCCAAAAACATGAAACTTATCATCATGATTGTCTCAAGCGCAAAGTTAAACTTCCATCTTCAGTAATGGTCTGGGCTTCAATGTCGGCAAGAGGAGTTGGCAAATTACATTTTATCAATGGCATTGTTAACTCAGACAAATATTTAGACATCCTAGAGAAATTTTTGTTGCCTACTTTGGAGCAGAGCAGGGTCTCTGGAAATGACTTCATCCTCCAGCAAGACGGTGCTGCCTGCCATACCATGACATGGCTTTTAGACCATGAAGTGCCACTCCTAGAATGGATTTCTAGTAGTCCGGACCTTTCACCCATCGAGACCGTATGGCACATCATGAAAAAGAGGCTGCGAGCCAATCCTGCCAGGGCTGTGCAAGAACTCAAGGAAAAACTGCAGAACATTTGGGATAATTTCACTCCAGATGAGTGTCAGGACTTAATAAATACTTTGCCTCGACGAATTGAAGCTGTAATTAAAAATAGAGCTGATGTTAGTCAGTGGTAAGATGAGTTACGAATTCTTGTTTCTTAGAGATAAAAATCACAAATTTTGTTTCCTCTTTTTTCGCTCTAGTCATTTCCAAGTGTTATAATTAGTTTATTTTTTTTGTGTAATATAAATTTAAGATGCTGTTTGCAAAAGAACAATTAAGAATTATACCTCTATTAGTTTAAATGATCGTCAATATATGCCAATAATTGCAAATTTACCAAGTGGGCCAACAGAAGCTGGACGGGGCTCGTAGTTCATTCCACGTTTGCTTGCTGTGATCGCTGTTTGCTGACGATTAAGCAACACGTACCGCTACCAAAAGAGTTCACAACAAGTGTACAACAGCTCGTGCTAAGTTAACATAGAAAAAGCTACGTTTGTCACAAAAAACCTACGAAATGTCGAAAAAATGAAGAAATGTCACTTTTCAAGATACGTAATACTCGTGCCGGTTCTACCACTGCTTAGTCACGTTGTCTTTGACCAACATGACGCTTCTACAGAGAGAACAATAGAGGGATTCCACAAAGTTGCGAGTTCCCTGCTACTCGACGTATACAGGGTGTTAGGGAAATAATATTCGTAACTTTAAGAGGTGATTCCTTGCATTATTCTAAGCAAAAGAGTTCATTATAACTCATGCCCGAAAATGAATCGTTTTCGAGGAAGGCGAGTCCTAAAAAATTTTTTCAAACGTTTGGCAACGCTGCAACACAACCGCAATACGAGCGCACGAGGACCGCAACTGATTCATCAAATTATTTACGTTTGTATATTTTTGTTGAAAATAAGCCTTGAATTACTGAATACTTTTACGCAATTTTTTGTGGCTAATATTTTTTATTTAATAACGCTTTCAGTACAGTACATTTACTTAAAAAAAATGACAGAACTAACCGGTACGTGGCGATACACACCACCAATTCCTACGGTTATCAGTCACTTATTTGAAACTATGCGATGCACGAAAAAAGAAAAAAAACAACATACGTAAATCACATAAAGTTACAGTTAAATGTATTAGTAATCACAACAACACGCGATGATACATGCAATGCAGGTGGAGTACGACGTTGCCAATTGTGTGAGGGATTTTGTTTGTCTGTTTTCTTCGGAAAATTGTATTTAATAAGCAAGAAAATTATTTTGCTAGAGACAGTTAATTAATAAATAGAAGTATTGATACATTTTACGCTATTAGGCATATGAATTTAAATTATTAAGGTGCAAAATTAATTTATTTCATGACTAAAAAGAAATAAGTTCAGCATTTTTTTGCTCCGAAACGGTTGATTTTCCGGCATAGCTCATAATGAACTTTTTTTGCTTAGAATAATGCAAGGGATCACCTCTTAAAGTTACGAGTATTATTTTCCTAACACCCTGTATAACTCGAAAAAATAAACGGCTTTTCTTAGTAGCATATGCACCAAAGTGTTGAGACGACCGTGATCTTAGGCTCCTGTATGTCGATCGGATCAAATGTGGAAAGACACGACGCACGTCCCTACTCAACCAAGGTGCCGGCAGCGTAGGTAAACAAAACACTTCTTTACCAATCTGTTCGGAATAAAAAAATGGCACACACTTACAACAATATCGAACTTGTCGACATGATTTTAATTTATCGTGAGTGTCTTCAAAATGCTACCGGAGCTTCGCGAAAGTATGCGTAACACTTTCCCAGACGTTATCATTCGGGCCGCATAGATTTGTTTGCTTTGTGCAAAGTGATAGGGATACAAGTCGTTTGCAGGAATATCAAGGAGGGTAGATTGGGAGTGCTAGACAACCCCAAATTGTGCAAACAGGGGAAGGATTATTGAATCTTGTAGAAAAGTCCTTCAACAAGCACTAAGGAAGTGGCTAGGCAAGTGCAAGTCTCCAAGGCTAAAGTGAGCCAAATACTGCGTGAAATTTTCCAGCAAGAGTGCGTTTTTGTGAGTAGTTGTTGCACCAACATGATAAAAATCCTGGGTCGAAGTCCATATTAGTCACAGATGAGTCAACCTTCGCGCGTAACAGGGTGAATGAGTTCTCTCATGTGTGGTTATTGGAGAATCACAAACAAAAAATATTTTCTTCGAATATTTGAGCTAGCATGGTAAATCGAATGCCGTTGGACAGTTTATATTCCGCAATCGGCTGGACGGTTTACAGTACCTAGACTTTCTATGAGTCATTTCGAACAGTACTTATAAGTGACAGAGCTGTGAGTAACTTTTTTAACTTTTTCGCTACTACGACATGATTAAAAACTACATTTTCTAAACTTACTGTCTTATTTCTTTCTTTCATGCCTTCAGGTACATGGCTTCAAGGCTGTTTACTATTCTGAATCTTATTTATATACCACTGTACATAGATGAAAGAAGTACCACAGATCAAACTCGAATAGATGAAGTTCGAGAAACCATAGCAACAGTTCCGTTAGTCTCATATATAGCATCATTTTTAACATCGATTCTGTTGAAATACAAAAATGGGATTTGTAATGACAAGGTAATTATGAGTTTTTTCTTATTTAAATGTTAGACTTCTCTGAGGAATGCTGATGTTTTAGATGATTTATGCAATTGGAACCACTTTTGGATTATTGTCTTCAATTTTAATAGGAATAGGCGTTCCCACAACTTCAGATACTGAGCTGTACGTTATCGCAGCACTCATAGGTAGGTCTATAACTGCATTTTAGTGATCTCAGTCTAAACATTCAGTCGAATCTCAGTATGCGGTGTTAAATTTAACGATATTATACTTTATTGTCTGTTATAGGTATAAGTGGATCATCCACAATGGTTGCAAGTCTCTGTTTAACAGCAAATTTCGTAAAAACAAATGGTCATGGAGGAGGAATGATCTACAGCCTTGTGACATTCACAGATAAACTTATATCTGGTGCAGTGGTGTTGCTTGTCCAGAACATGTAAGGAGAAACAATCGGAAGCAAAGCTACTGCGTAACATTTTCTTTAACAGTAAATTGAAGAATGTTTGCTTAGTCAGCTCTTTCTGGATGTTCGCACTTTCGTAAGACACATAAACTCATTGCTGCACTACGTGTTTGTCATTTGTTCTAATTTTCTCTAGCACAAGCAAACTTAGCTGTGTTCTTCTGATACAGTAAAGTTCAACAATCCTTGACAGTTTCAATGTTCTCAGACTTCGTGTCATTGGGAATGTTTCAAATATATTAGATTGTATCATTAAAATTTCTTTGGCTTTTTTGGAGAATTAACTGTTATTAACTTTCACAGTCTATGAAACAAAACTTCATTAAACCTATCTTATTCTAGACAATGTACACCAAGAACCTTATGTCCTCATTTCTACGAGAATGTGCTCAGTTACGTCTGTGGAATCGTATCTATGATTGGTCTCAGTTCGATGGTTACACTAGAAGTTAAAACAAATCGGCACTGATGGATACTTTAAGTACTATTTATTTAAGGGAAGTATAGGAATATACACACAATTATTTTTACTAGCCCCACACAAATGTACACTTCGCAGTATTATACAAAAGTAATAAAGTTTTTGAAACTAGTCTTAATTTGTTGGTACATGGTATAAAAAATCTTTTTAAAGTGGAATTGAAAATGTAGAGTGAAAAAGGTGGAATGAAAAAGATGAATTTGAGAGTGGTGCAGGTGGAACAGCAGTCGAGGGGAATTGCAGTATCAGTCTCGTTGTTATCCAAAAACTTCCGGGCAAAGCAAACACCCCGGGCAAAGCGATTTTTTCCTCTTCATCCAAACCATAAGTCGGCTATCGCCAAACGTTACTCATACCCTTCCAACCTTTTTTCATAGTTAGCAATCAGTTGTATCAGAATCCACGTTCTCATTTGACTACTATATAGGCAACAAACTGTGTTCTTCAAACAAAAAGATTAATTTTGCAAAATAGGTGAGCTCATAAGAAGTAATACCAATTCTATACTGTGTATACTGTCGGCCTTTTAAGGTATGTATCCAATCTATCATTAAGGTGGTCGTTATAATCTAAGTAATATCTATTGCCTGATGATAGTATGAACTTGTATGTATCGATATGATGCAACAGCTCAGATTTCAGTTATAGTTTTGAAAATTCACAACATTTTTTGTCTTGAATTTTGTCAATTTTTTGTCCATACCTCCTCGAAAAGTTCCAATGCTATTTTTGTATTTAGGATCAATTCAACAATATTCACGCATTCATGGTAAATTTAAAAAAAAAGTCGGTTGCACTAGTTGCAACACTGTTTCTGCTGTGACTGCTCCTGTTAAGTCGTGTGATTATGAATATCCAAATTAATATTTTTAATGATAAGCGTGAAAATCTTGACAAACCGTCACAAAATGTTCCATTTAGAGAGAGGTGACGCGCCAGTAGGCGAGCGGTCGGGGCTGCTACCAAACTGCTAGAAAATAAAACGTCCACAAATGTAATAGTCATGCGATCGAAGTCCGAAATCTCCAAAAGCGTAATACGATCCTATTGCCAACTAAATTTGATCACTACAGAGAGCAATTATGTTATGGTTGTAAGTTGTTTTAAACTGTCTCTCCAATGAAAATATCATCAAAATTGTAGGAGTTGTACGAGATTTCGATTGCTTATTTAGCAACCGGACAACAAATTCTGTTTTTTTTTTAAGAAAAGTATTGGTTTTACAAGATAGGTGTTGTGCGTTCAATATCATACTATCTGCATGAATGGATTTCTTTGGTATCACACGTCTAGTTTGTCAGTCCTAGAAAAGCTAGGATTAAATCAATAGCTTGGGTAGTAAACAGGAAAGACCTCAATGAATTTGTGAAAAATTGCGAATTAACAAAAACAGCACCGCACGGGTATCATGTGAAAAACCTATAAAACGTCCAAAAAATCTATAAGATGTCAACTTTCAGACTAGTTAGTTTTTAGAAGGCAACAGTTATTCCACGTTTGCTCACTAGGATCGTTGTGAACGTCCATCTATGGAGAAATCACTTAACTAAACTACACGCATGATTGGTTGCATATGTTTTGTGAGGCTGAGTGATCCGTGTCTGTGGCTTTTATCTCTGAGCAGAAAGTTGGTTGAATAGCAAGATCGCATCTGGATGATTATGTGTATTGGTCCGCATGTGTATAAAATCAGTGATATTTGCTGTGTGAGAAAATAATGACTGAATATGCTGAATATGACGGGTTATTTATATGTTGTGCTTTCTGAAGAGTGGTTATGTTCAAAATTATAAATTACGAAAAACTGAGGAGAATTACGGGAAACCATCACCGCGCCCGCGTTGTGTGTAATGTTAGCATGTATATGGCTTGTACTTCGACAGTGTACAGTGAATATATAATTATTTCTTATCTCTCTCATTTTTGAAATTCAGCAAATTTGCTGGATATTGCATATTATGCAATTTCCAGAATTGGTAAGAAAAAGTCGCTGTGCAACTAGTTTCTAGCTTTAAATCTCAATTAAGTGTATTTGAGACAAGAACCCAATGCAATTATCATCAACACATACAACTTACAGCTTAGACCCCCAGTAATGCCATCTCAGAAGCAGATCATATCAGAGCCAAAGATTTATAACAAGCCTCATAACGTTTAGGCAACACGTACAACAAGGTGCTAAGTCAACGTCTTGGCGAAAAACCTACATAATGTCAAATAAACAGCATAATGTAAAAAAAAATCGGCATAATGTCACTTTTCAAGATACGTGATACCCGTGCCGGAGTGCCTAGTACCAGTTGTGCCATAAAACATTTCCGAATTTGAGATCGTTCATTGTTGTTCTGTTCAATACGTATCATACTTTTGCGGCTCTCTGAGGTAATTGTTAATAACCTGATGGCCATGAGCTGCGAATCTCCTTCAAAAAGAACGGTTCTCCTGGCTACTATACAGCCGATGTTGTAATTGTCGATAGATGGCAGACGGTCTCAAACGTCTGAGCGTGGAGGTACCACCCAACTAAGTAACATTTGTGTAATAATCACACGAAGCCCAGAATGTTCACTTTGCTCGAGCCTCCCCTACTGCTTCTGCATATATCGTACTTTACATGATTTCCTGCTTTAACTTAATCAAGTGTTGAAAATATGCGGCGTCGCATTTCTGCTTTTTTCTGTATAGCGATGAACAGATATTTCTAATTCTCGTGCAAAAATGAGCAAAATGAACAAATTATTTTTGTGGCGAAGATGGGGTACTTGAGTTCTCGTACAGACTGAACTCTTTCTTCTTATTTAGCAGACCTATGCTTTCAGCTTCATTTTCTGATGCTGATTTTTGTGTTGGTGAATGTGTTCTGAAGCCACCAGATTCATCGTTAAATGGTTTGCCTAACAATGGATTCCTATACGTTGTGATTGGATTCTTATAAAGAGGGTTAGTCTGTTCCGGCATTTTACTTTCGCTCATGAACTTTTTGTATTCCACTCTTTCTTGGTGGTAGATTCTAATCTTCCATATCAGTATAAATAATATTCCACCTAGAATAAGATTGAGAAATTAATTCAGTCTGAATTCTTAAATACCACTTTGCCAGATACCGAGCATTCAGTTTTCAGTTTTGGAAGACTTTGTGTTAATGAATCACCTCAAGCTTACCTATAACCACAGCAGCGACAATGGACACGAAGCTAGTCATCATCTTGAAGCCAGCAGTTTTATAACAACTGATTCTTGCCTTTAAATGTACAGAGTTAACATCATTACTAGAATAGCCGAAGGTAATTACACAAAAGTTGCTACCAGAGTACGCTTCCGTTCTACAAGCTGCATCATCTGCAAAGGAAATACAAATCCTCATCTATCCATTTTTTCGAATGACTACTTAATGCTTTAAGCAATTTATTATCTTCAGTCTAAGTCTAAAGCTAAACACACTGAAAACAAAATTTTTCTGAAGGCTTGAGTTAAATGTGTACGAGAGAGAAGTGTGTATAGGCAGATATGTTAGAAAGAGATAGAAGCCGACTGGACAGCGAAGCTCATCGCCACGCAGCTTAGCAACGCTGACGCGGCAATTTGCCGCATTGCCACTATGTTACACCAGTTCCTTGATTAAGATACGTATTGAAAATATGGGATAGTTTATTCTTTGCGCCCAAATAATGGTTTTATTTTAAGCGTACACATTTTTGAATTGTGAATTGTGTCGAATCTGATTAGGATCAAATCCAGATCTGTCCTAACGGCGCTCCATTTCAGGCCGAAATGAAAGGACAGCATCGCCACGGATTCTGCAACACTGCATCATTGCTTCGTTTGACAACACCGCATCTCTTACATTCCCAGGCAAGGTGTCAACTTCCATGATCATAGTTGAGCGATTTTGGTCAGTGCCCATCTAGCGTTCGTAGGGGTGTGTCGTCCTACTTCGTATATGAAGGCAGGGACATTTATATTGCGTAACTGTATCACCATCCCTGGAAATCAGAGATAATTCTCAAATAAATTGAAACACTAAGTTGCGTCAAAATAGAAATAAATAAATTACTCTTATCAAAACGAAAACAAAATATTAAATTAAATGTTCGATCAGACCTCCTTCTTGGGCTTGACATTGACCTTACCTATTGTAGAAGCCTGTGCGAACAATTTCTAGCATGGTAGGGGTCACCGAACGGGATACTGCTATTATTTTCAGCTGCAACTTTTCCAAAGTGATAGTCCTTGCATGGGGGTCTTCACATAACCCCAAGAGAAGAAATCATTAGCCGCGAAGTCAAGAGATCTCGCTGGCCATTGCATGCTGCCATGTGTAGAGATCAGGCGTCCGGGAAATATTGTTTCCAAAAATTCCTCCCCCCTTACGTTATGACCATCTTGTTCGAACCAAATAGCATGAAGGTTGATGCCCAGGTTTCGTACAGTCGGGTTAATTTCGTGTTGAAGCAGTTCCAAATAACGCGAGGAATTTAAGGTAGCATTAATGAAGAAAGGTCCAACATGAGGTTCCCTAAAATACTCCCTCAAAAATTAACCTTTTGTGGATACTTCGTCCTTAATGGTAAGCTTAAATGTTTGTTTTCCCTTAATACCTAGATTTTTGGGTTTATGAGGTCCATAGAAAGACAAGCTGTATTCGTCCAAAAACAATTTGTTTCGGAGAAATCGGTCATCGTTGTCAATGATTTCTCTCATGGCATTACAAATTCGGCTCGTAGCTATGCTTCTTCAGAATACACCTGACTGTACTTACCGGGATACCCACTTCTTCCGATATGGACTACTCGAACAAGGTTGAGGTTCCTCTCTTTGAAGCGTCTCTCAACATAACCACAAACAGCCTCGTTCCTCGTAACCTTGACCTCTGGAGCATTTTCTTCTTCTGCATCATCATTCTCCCGTTCATATGCTTCATGTAGACAAGAGTTGGTGCAACCACGATTGACGAAGTTTCGGAAAATGGTCCTAACCGTGGTCGGACTAGGGCAAGGTTGGTCAGTGTATGTGAAACTCATTGTGATAATTTGTAACGTCCACTGACGGTCGCGTTTGAAGGAATGACGAAATACGTAGAACAAACAGCGTTGAGAGATACATAATTATAGGCAACCCAAATATACGTCCCTCGTGTTCCAGATTGCAGAACACTGCATAGACTACCATACACTTCAGTTTTTAGCTTTGTTTTCGGTTGTTACCTCTTTTTCGGTAAAACATCTGGAACTCTTGTAATTATTTAAAAAAATCGTGGAAAATGTCCACGTTTTCGGTATTTCGGTAAATAAGGTCTCATTCCGGTAGAAATGCCGAAAAATCGGTAGGTTCGGCAACATTGCCAAAATCGCTCATCTAGGATCTAGGAGGGTAGAAACCTTGCTTTGCAATGTACAAGATGCGGTGTTGTCAAACGACCCAATTATGCAATGTTGCAGAATTTGTGTCGATCCTGACCTTTCACTTCGACCTAAAATTGAGCGCCGTTGGGACCGATCGGGAATAAATCTTGAATAGATTCGACACATTTTACAATTCAAACCATTATTTGGACGTAGATAATAAACTAACGCATATTTCCAACATACATCTTAGATCAACGAACTGGTGTAACATATTGCATCACCTTCTGCGTCACCGTTGCCTCTATCTCTTTCTAAAATATACACATATCGCGTTTCTCTCTCGTACACATTAAACTCAAGCCGTCAGACAAATTTGGTTTTCCCCATATAAAAATATTTACGGCGTTCCATTTATGAATTTGAGGGAGTGTACAACTCGTCAAATATAGCTAGAGACTTGGAAATGCTGCCGTCTGCGTAGAAAATTAAGTGAGAACGCATTCGGAGAAAAAGAGATACATGATGCGCTGTGTCTCGTCGCCTCGTTGGTACACTCCGTGCAACAAGTTTGCAGAATGTGATCTTAACACTCTCGCCGGCGCCGCCACGTGTATCGCTGTCAATATACCGGGCATCTCAATATTTTAGCCGGTGTGTATGGCTTGCTATACACGCTGCTAATATTTCTTATGGATAATTGTTTCTAATGGCCTAGAAGCAACAAAGTTTGGTACCAGTTTTGGCCTATAATTGAAAATGGTGCCATAAAAACTAACATGTTTTTCTCAAGTGTTTTCAGGATAAAACGTACCTAAGTATTAGTATCTGAAACTAATCGTGACATATGGAAGTCAAATGACACAAATATCAGTGGCAGCGAGAGTGTTAATTTGTAAAGAAACCTCTGAAATCGAACTTATTTGTCAAATTACATATTTGTTGTAGGCAAAGATAAGTATGTATTTTTAAAAAGTGTAATGACGAAAACATTTCGATAGTTACTGAATAACAATAAAGTTCCTTCCAAATATAAACAAATTACTTTGTTAAAAAATAAAACTTAACTAAACAAAAAACTTGAGATAAATCAATTTTTTACGTACCACAAAAAACGAGATTACAATTGGCGTTCAAGAGGTTCATCTTCTGTCTCGGAACTGGTATTTTCCAGAGAATCCACGCTGTCATTGTCAGTATCTTCCTGCAAATTTATTATAACTTCATCGACAATTAAATCTAGAGCTGGTTCCTTTTCCATAAAATAATGCTCGAAAGAAATAGCATGTTCACAATATTTTTTACATTCCTCTTGGGTAAATTTGGAGAAAAATTCTTCACAATATTTCTCAACATTTTGGAATTTAAAGTCCACATTTTTATCTGCCACATATCGTTTTAGAGCAGCCCACACTAATTCAATCGGATTTAAGTCCGGATGGTAGGGTGGTAGTCTTAAGACAGAGTGACCTGCATCATTCATGATCTGATCTATCTCATAGGTTTTATAACTAGGTTTGTGCATTTTTATTATGCCATATAATTCTGCTTTTATCATGTCTTCCGAAAATGGAATGTTCCGCTATCTCAGCCACTCCTTCATTTCATCTTTCTACACCCCATTGAGGGACATTTTTGTAGTTGGACATTGTGATACGGTGCATTGTCTATAATCAATACACTACGGGCTGGTATGTTAGGAATAAGTTTTTCCTGAATCCACTTTTTATAATTACTATAGTTCATTTCGCTATGATAATCTCCGGACTTAGTACCAGATTTGAATTGTAAACATGCGTTGTTTATGAAACCCATTTCGCCGCCTGCATGAACAATAATTAGCCTCGGCCCTTTGGACACTGGCTTGTGGAAACCTTCGATGGTATTGTCTCCCCAGTTTTTGGCATGGGTATGAGAGGAATGAATATAAGTCTCATCCATGTAAATTATGGGCCGATTTTCTTCCCTATAATGTTTAATATTCCTGAGAAAACTTCTGCGAAGCGCTTGTATATACGGTTTTTCCATTAGGATTTTCCTGTTATTCTTCGTTTTCCTCCATCGAAATCCCATATCCCTCATCACTTTTCTCAAAGTTTCATGTGACCCTGTATAAATATTGTTTTCTCTAAGGTGTGTGTTATGTGTCGCAAGGTAGGGACTCGTTTTTCGGTGACATAAAAATTGATTATTATACGGCGAAGTAGACTTCTGTCAAGATCATCCAAGTTTGATTTTGGGGCACATTTCATTCGTTTGTTGTTAGGCGTCGAAAATGACGTAGCACCACCTTTTTCCACATTTTTCATTTCACGAGAGATCCGTTTTATAGTGCTTAAGCTTACTCCCGTAGCTAGGGCAGCGCGCTCCTGTACTTTGTTTAAATCCTTAATAGGCTGATTTTGTATCGCTTCTCGCTGCATAAAAAAGATTACATTCGCTATAACCTCCCTCGTTTGTCCAGACAAAACTTTGCCTTTTAATCTTGATTGAAAATCCATGTTAATTATTTAAACACTCAAATCAGTAGCAACTTCCTTCCAGTACAGGAAAAAGAAACTCAACAGAATAGTTTTTGTCGCAGACTGTACAACACCTTGCGTCCAGCTGTCAGGAAATACTATTGATGAAATTTTGGTGCTGTCTAGTGCGCATCGGAGGTGGAGCGCAATATCGGGAAGACCAAGTCTCTAGCTATATTTGACGGGTTGTATATATTTTTTTGGGAACTGTCGGTATTATTGAACATTTTTAAAAATGACAAAATTAAGGAAGGGTTACAATAAATTCTTGAACATAATTAGGGATTCATTGTCTCCGAGTTGACTGCAGTTTTTAGGAAAAAAGGAGCTAGTACAATAGTTTCTAATAACAAAGATAATTGTATTTAGTCTGGTCTTAGAATGGAAGCTAACCATCTTGAGTAGCATCCCCAACTACATCAACATATATGTCCACACCATTTCTTTGAAATTTGTACTTTTCACTAGTAGCAGCTTCTTCAACATACGGCTTGTAAATCTCACAAATTGTATTGTTGGATCCGTTGACTTCGCAGAACTTATCTGAGTATGCCTGATTACACTCGCATTTGTTACAATGACATTTTCCGTTGCTGTTACACATTTCAGGAGAGTCTGGTAAGTGGCAGTTTGATGTAGATGTTGAGCATGAGCAGTCTTTTCCGGTGTATTCTGATTTACAAAGGCATTTGCCTTCGAAACAAGTACCTGTAAGTTCAAAATAATTAGTTATATAGGCAACATCAGCCAATTATGTGTAGACAAAAGCTTTATAAAAACTTACTTTCTCCCATCCTTCGGGGATCATCAAAATATATTTTTCATAAGGTGGGTGGACCATCGAATGCCATGCTGTTTGTAAGACCAGTTATTAAAAATTCGTAGGTATTGCCATACATTGACAAATTCCTTCTATTTCATCGAACTGAAGAACACAGTTAAGGCTTTTTTTGATAACGCCGTCCCTCGCGTTGTTTACTTCGGTCGTTGACAACAAAACGTGAGTTTTCAAATAAATAAACTGTTATTTTCTGTAAATTTAGTATTTGCTACGTTACAGAAGAAAATACTATTATCTAATTTCCATTTTAGTTAAAATATCGGTAGTACTCCTGGGAACCTTGTGAGGCCGATCAGAGAAATGACAGTTGGCCTAGCTAGAGCGCAAGTGCCTTGTTAGAAACATCTAGGGATCACGAAAATATCAATACTCAGTATTTAGTTATATGGAAATGGCACCACTTTTAAATTTACTGAATTGTACATTTCTAACGCAATCTGGAACACTTTCGGGCCTGATGAAGCCAACCAGCAGAAATACGTATCGCTCGGGTTACCTATCCTATTTTCTGCTCGAATCCACTTTCCCGCTTTTTGCGGATTTTGTCTTTACAAAATGCTGCCGCGGCATCACGAATTGATGCGAATCGGTTTCCTAATCGAGTGCAACCAACCCCTCGTGCCTTTGTTAATGTAGTACAAAGGGCTCGTGAATCAGGTGACTTAAGACCTCACAGGGAAGCGCATGCCGGTGCTCCAAGACCGCACGATCAAATACAGGTCCGCACTGAAATACTTGTCGGGAGGATACTTTATAAAACAAGGTTACATTTTTTTTAATTTATTTTTTTTATTTTTACACACATACTTTGGTTTATCTTCCTTCTACAATCATTATCTGAAAATTAATGACTCAACTTCAAAGTTATATATATTTATAGTATTCATTTATATATATATATAGTATTCATATTTAATTGCGTTAACTGTTAGGAGAAAATATCCTTAAACTTATTTGGGTTGAAGACAAAGTTTTGCATATCTTACAACTTGAATTCGAGCTTTAGATGAACTATGCCATCAACATCTGGAGCTAAAAAACAATTTTTGAAAAAATAGCAACAATAAACAATTAGGAGGAAAATAATTACTTACTAAGTCGGCGAGATTGTTGCTGATATTGTTCTTAAACGACAATTAAAGGGAACACATAGTAGACGACCAAAAATTGGACCGATGAGGTTCGATTAGGATGGATTTTTGTTAATTTTATTAATAAATGGCAACATCATAGCCATGTTTTTTTAAACCACTGACTGATTTGGAAGAACTTGAAAATTTATCAATTATTGAAAAAATCCTTCGAGATTTCATCTTTCCTAATAACCTCCACTTTATCTAGCACATGCCGGCCGACTGACACTCTCCAGTGGCATATGAAGTGTGACCTTGAAGTTATTGAACGCTAACGAACGTTACATACTTGTGATGTGTGTTGCCAACTATGTAGGAAGTTCCGTAAACTAGTACGAGGGGGTGTGTTTTGTTATCCGATGAGGTTCAGAGTTATTTTCAAAATTAATAAATGTTATTGTTGAAGGAGTGTGATTTGAATGCTATCCTACCATCGAACTACGTAATATGACGGAAACTTCAAACTTGAGGAAAGATGATTAGGAGGAAACTTGTTTTAATTTGATTATAGATATTGAAAATTTATGTAATCAGAGCGATTATTGAGAAAGGTCGATGTTGGGAGAGATATGGTGCTTTTCCATTTTTTTTTTGCAGTTCATCAAGCATAAATGACGCTAAGTTGATTGACATCAGCTTTTTTGTTCATGCAACTGTATGTCATGAAGATATGTGACATTCCATGAACAAACGTTTTGATAGATGGTTTTCTCTGTCTAGCACCTTGATATCGTTGTATCCCATTTGATGGCCTGTGGTGTTGACATGTGAAGCCAGAGCACATCTTTCTGGATGCAGTCAGGCATCACTTTTATGAGAGGCTATTCTACCCTTTATAGGTGAGAATGCAGTTATTGCATTTGATGGAGTAGGCAATATTGGATAAGCTAAGTAGAGGAACTCTATCTTTCATTTTGGAGAAAACATTGTTAATTGTGAGGGAGGATTTGTAAGCAATGCGACAATTTAAAGTGTTGCACAATCAAGAAAGTTTTGGTGTTAGGTCTTTAATTTACGGCGGGACTGCGTAATCAATTCTGGAAATATCTGTATTGTTAGAATGATTGACATTGTTATTGTTGGAAAGGTTGGGATTGTTCTTATCATTATTATGTGAAAGTGGTATAGCAGTAGGAGAGCTGAACAAAATTCTGTTAATCAGGTATCTTGTATAACCATTATTGATGAAGAGTGTTAAGAGTTTTCGTAGGTTAGAAAGATGGAAAGTACTGTCAAAAATGCTAATAACTCTTGTTTTCAATTGTTTCACCAAATTTATCTTTATCTTAAGTTTCTGGTAGGACCTGAAGTTCAGGAATCTGCTTGATACCATAGGCTCCATGTACCAGTCTACCAATAAGATATTGTTGTTTTGGATGATCTTTGAGTACAGGAATGGAACTGATTCATTATCGTCTTCTTTTTCTATGATGAATTGAATATAGGGATCATAGCTGTCAATACTGTCCAAACCTTCAACAGGTAGGTAAACAATGATGTGGTCTACGTATTTTTTTATGAAGAAAAGGTTATAAGGCAATACTTGAATAACAATATCAAGCAGGCCGGTCATCCATTACATATTCTGCTAAAATTGGTGATAACACTGATCCCATCGGACAACCATGTGCCTGTGAATAGGTATTGTTGTTAAAAGTGAAATAATCATTATCAAAAAGGTATTCTAAGATGGTGACAAAGGATTCCAGAGTTGATTGCAGCACTGACATATTAGATCCCAATGTTTGTGAATGGATCGGATGCAAGCTTCTAAGTAGACATTATTGAATAGTGACACCTTATCTAACTTGCGATGACATGTCCAGGTGGTATTTGCAACCTATTAAATTGTCGAGATATCAAATGAAGTATTCACCTTTAATGTGGGCTGACTTAAGTATATCTGAAATTAATGAGGATAAAGCCTGCGTACCCAATCCAATTGATGCCACTATAGGTCTTACTGACAGTGTTGGTTTATGTATTTAAGGAAGGGCATAAAATGTTTGTGAGACTGAGTTGTATGTGGTTAGTGATTTTTCTGGTCTTGGTTTATTTGTCCAGCCTATTAACAAAGGTTGCAAAGACATTTATGAATATAGAGTAATTTAACCTTATATTCTGATCACAACGTTAGTTTTAAGTTAAACAACTGATCTCGTTGTTGTTCCTTGCAAGACGAAAGAATTCAATATAGCTTGTACTCAATAAATAATCATTGACTCTGTGTTAAAATATGTCTTATATGTTACAGACTAAACTTAATAATTTGTTTCGTGTATCCAGTAAATAAAAGAAAAATAACAATTCAAGTGTTACTAACATTCCATTGTCTACCCACCTTACTATACCAGTACTGAAACGTATACCAACTGTATTCTTCAAATGAAATACAGAGTATTTTGTTTCATGAGGTCTATTTTAAAAAAAAGGAGGATATAATATGCATTCGAGAATTGATTATCAGCTATCGCTTAATATTTACCATAATGTAGAAACCTTACTGAGTGGGGCCGTGGCCTTGTTCCGGAAGTTGTTGTATCAAGTATACAACTTCTTCCAGTTCAAGTTATTGTCCACGCGTTAAGGAATACCTCAGTACCGATTGTCGGGTGGCGGTACAAGTCCGCCGACGGGCCACTTTAGGTCTATTTAACATCACTAACACGTAAAAAAAAAGTGGTAGATAAGGACCAGTCGACCGAGGCAGTACCACCCGCTAGCTTTTCCCATGGTGTCTTATAAATGTCCGTATGTTTCCACACCTAAGCTATGCAATCGGTTATCCTCCAAAACAAAGAAATTAATGATGATGGATCCCTCGAGCACTAAGAACTCCGGACGTAAACTCACTCCACTCTCGGAATGTCCGGGTGGAGTGTGGGCTCGAGGGAACAACATCGAAGATAAAATTTGTTTTTCGAACATCTGCGGGATTAACAGCAACATTGATGCTGTTCATCACTACCTGCAATCCAATCGTCCCGCCGTGCTTTTCTTGGCGGAGACAAAAATCTCAGAGTCTGCACCGATTAACCATCGTAACTTCCCAAACTACGAGGTGCACTCCAATCTGAGAAAGAACGGGGGAGTTCTGGCTTTTGTCCGCAGCAGTCTTTCCTGCTCCAGAGATGTTTCTTTGGAATCAGACCGGAAGGACATTCTGTGGCTTCGCCTCAACTCCAAAACATCAGCCAAATTTATTTGCTGCCTTTATCGCTCTCCCTCGGACCATAACTGGGATGACCGGGAATACCCCGCCGTCCAGATCGACTTCCTGAACATCAATCATCCCGCTTCAGAGGTAGTTCTTCTCGGTGATTTCAATACCCATAATGAGCTTTGGTTTTGCTCAAACAAGACCGACGCAGCAGGTCGTGCAGTCGAAGCGTTCGCTCTTATCCAAGGGCTGACTCAGCTGGTGACGAGCCCTACTTTTTTCCCCGCATCTCGTCACACGCCAGTAGCCTGCTGGATCTCTTTCTGACCACGCATCCTGTCCCTTACAGCACTGCTATCCTGTCCCCCCTGGGTAACTCAGACCACGGTGTTGTGGAGGTTAGGTTTCGGTCAGAACCTGCTGTGGCAGCAGAAACTCGTACAGGCCGCAAAACTTGGCATTACGGACATGCCGACTGGGAGGGGCTCAGAGATTTCTTCTCTAGCTTTCCTTGGAAAGATGTCTGTTTCACTGACGCGGATGCGTCGGCTGTCTGTTCTTCGATAACCGAAATTATCCACGTCGGAATGGAGAAATACATCCCTCACACAGTGAAAGTGCCTAGGCCAGGGGTTGGTTTAACAAATCGTGTGACGCTGCTCGCCTGCAGAAGATCAAGGCACACAGAACCTTCTTACAAAACCCCACTGTAGAGAACAGACAAGCTGACGTTGAGTCCAGAAACAAATATAAAGCAGCGGTTGTATTCAACTCAAAGGCCAAGGCGGAAGTGCTAGCCAAGATCTTTATTGCCAACTCCACCATGGACGTCCCCCCCAACGCCCAAGTGCCGTCAATTCAAACGGTTCCCTACACTATGCGGGGTGTAACATTCAGGCATAAGACCGTAAGACGAGTACTCTTGTCGCTCGACATCAACAAACCTTCTGGTCCGGACCTGATTCCTGCCATTGTACTGCAGAGGTGTGCACCGGAGCTTGCTCCAGTTCTGTCGCGTCTCTTCCAGATATATTATGAATCCGGCACCTTCCCAGAAAACTGGAAATTTGCTCATGTCCAACCCATCCCAAAAAAGGGATCTAAGACCGACCCTTACAACTACAGGCCTATAGCTCTGCTTTCTGTTTTAAGTAAGGTGATGGAGAGGTGCATAAATCGCGAGCTTCTGAACTACCTCGAACGTCACGGCTTGTTTAGCGACAGGCAGTATGGTTTCCGGCACCAACGATCCACAGGGGACCTCCTAGCTTACGTCACTCAATTGTGGAGTAAACTCATCCAGTCTTATGGTGAGGCTCATATCGTTGCTCTTGACATGACGAAAGCGTTCGATCAGCTGTGGCACGCTGCCCTCTTAAGCAAACTTCCATCCTATGGCCTCCCAGCAAAGCTTTGCAGATGGGTGGCTGACTTTATCTCTGGCCGCAAGATATCCTTCGTAATTGACGGGTTTTCCTCTTCATCCCACAACGTCAACGCGGGTGTTCCCCAGGGATCGGTCTTGGCTCCGACACTGTTTTTCTTACATATCAACGACCTTCTTTCTTGCACGATCAACCCAATCCACAGCTTCGCTGATGACAGCACTCTACATGCAGGAATTCAGAGTGACAAGCCGATCTCTGCCGCTGAGTTGGAAAAAAGACGAATAGCGATGACTTCCTCTCTGGCAAGAGACTTGGAGGCTATCACTACTTGGGGACGCAACAATCTTGTACAGTTCAATGCTTCCAAAACGCAGTACTGTACTTTGACGAACAAAAAGCATCCTAGCGCTCATCCGGTTTCGATGGATGGTCGATTTCTGGCAAAGAGCCATTCATTTCGGCTGATCGGAATCCAGAGCACCGATGACCTGATCTGGCAGGAACACATCTCGTCAATAGCTGCAGCTGCTGGGAAAAAGCTAGGCTATTTGTTTAAGGCTAAGAAGTACTTTTATCCGCATGACCTTCTCACTCTATACAAGGCCCAGATAAGGCGAGTATTGCTCACACGTCTGGGGTGCTGCCGCCCCGACTACATTATCCAACGGGCTTTGCTCCTCAGAGCTCTCTTCCATGATGCCGTCGCGCGATGTGCCTGCCAGACAGGCCCGCCTGACTTTGGCGTCCCATCCTAACCGCGTCGAACTTCGTACATCCAGAACCGGCCGATACGACCGCTCCTTTGTCCCGAGGGTGTCGAGATTGTGGAACAATCTACAAGAGGAAGCTTTTCCCAGTTCTTAACCTTAGGCAGTTCAAAAATCGTATTAATAAAATTTCTTTGGGGTCATCATAGCAGCCGCGGTGTTCCGGCATTTAGGCTTCTGCCTGCGCGGCCGCTTCGATATAAAAAAAACAGTTAAAAGTTAATTTTATTAGCTCACCATGATTTTTGCCACTGCATATCTGCCTATTTTCGCCGATTGGACACTTGAATTGGCAGTACGTTCCCAAATATGGATAATCGCATTCACATTTTCCACAGTTACATTCACCGCTAAAATGAAATAATGATTACCTACAAAAATATTCGAGTGCTTCTGAAGATATCCAGCTATCGAAGCAAAATGTGGTAGTTGGAACCAGATTGAGTCTAAAGCTAAAACAGGATGTACGTGTATTGGTTTGAAGTATTATATGAATGTTCCGATTGTACCGTTGGATATACAATAATACAACGAATTCTCAAAAAAATTCAAAACTATAAAACATTTATTTATGATTTGGTCTTGGGCTTCAGAGTAGCGTGAGGCTGGAAAATCATACTTTACCTGAGTGTCATCGGCAAAGAATTGCACATTACAGTGCTTGACAGTATCTTGAAGATCCGCGGTGTATATCAAAAAAAGCAATTGATCTAATACGGAGCCTTGAGGTACTCCGGATTGAACTTTATTTGGCAAAGACATCTGACCATCAACCACAGCCACTTGCGACCGATCACTTAAATATGACTTGATGAGCTTACAAGCAAGATCATCAAAGCCATAGTAATAACATTTGGCTACAAGCAGTTTGTGATTCAATATATCAAATGCCTTCGAGAAATCTAAAATGACAAGAGCACACAAGTTTTTATTGTCAAGCGCGGAAATTATGCCATCGATCAAGTCCACTAAAGCCGTAGTAGTGCTATGATTTTTTTTAAAACCCGATTGATGAACACTTATAATATTATTTTTGTCTAAGTAGTCGTAAATCTGGATATAAGATGCGCGTTCCAGTATTTTGGATAGAAAAGGCAAAAGACTTATCGGTCGTAGGTCGTCAAATGACAAAGGATTCGAGGTTTTAGCGAGTGGTTTTACCATTGCTGTTTTCCACGCGCTTGGAAAATAGCCTCTCTCTAAGCATAGATTGATAATATGCAACAAATAAAGATTTATAGCGGGATAGCATAATTTTAACATTCGCAACGTAACTCCGTCATTACCAGATGCATTGGAACCAATATGACTGATTATAGATGCTAAGCTTGTCAAGTCAATTAAATTGAAAGAAAACCTCTCAAAACTATGTCTGTTGTTACGATAATGAATTATTTTGTCAATACATTGTTCATCACTATTCTTAAAAATTGAGGTAAAGTAATCATTCACTTTATATGGATTGGAAAGGTGGACCGGAATGTTCGGAGCCTCTTTATTACTTTGTATGTGCATTTGTTTCAATGATTTGTAAAGAGATTTAGAGTTTTTATTTTCATGTAGATGTTCCAAATAGGCTGATTTTTCTTTGCGTAATGCTAGCAAGCAGTAATTTCTGAGGCTTTTATAGCTGTTCCAGTTTTCTTCTGATGGATCCATTTTATATTTAGAGAGAGCTTCACCCCTTTCCCTGAATAACATTTGTACGTTTGCAGTACGCCCAGCCGCTTTTGGCTTTGTGACTCGTACTGTTCGTTCAGGACAGTGCAAGTCAAAAGGTGACAATAAGTTTGATGTCAAGAACTCAACTTTGCTTTCTATGTCGCTGAAGTAAAGTATGCTTTCCCAGTCTATCCGATAAAGGTCATTATCAAATGCTTCTAAGTTAATGTTGTTAAAGTCTCTGTATGTTACAAATTTTGGTTCACATTTAACATCACAATATACCATCTGATGGTCACTAAAGCTATCAGCATTCATTGTACCACTAGAAATTTATGAAGTAGAAGAACTTATAAATATAGGATCTAATAATGTAGAAGTTCTCTCAGTTATTCTAGTCGGTTCACTTATAATTTGGGTCATACCATATATTTCAAAACAATCATTTATTTTATTTTCCATAAGCATGTTAATATTAAAATCACCCAACACCAGTATATTGTCATATTCGCTTATGAGTTATGGAAGTAGATTATCCAAGAATTCTAACATACTTGATAAGTTTTCATTTGGAGGCTTATAAATAACTCCTACACAGAAACTTGTATTACCAATTTTAAACGAGAGAAACAGAAATCCTATTTTCAGCTCGTTGTAGCTATTATCAAAGCTCAGTACCTGTACATTGCTGACAGTATCGCTCTTTATAAAAATAGCAACACCTCCACCTCTACCCTGCCTATCGCATCTAAATAAGTTAAAACCTCTTATGCTAACAACATCTGAAGGGATATTATCGGACAGCCACGTTTCGGATACACCAACTATGTGCAAGTCATTATCCTCTACCAATGATTTGAAACAATCAAAACCGGAAACCAACGATCTTGCATTATCATGAGCAATCCTGAGATTTTTAAGCTTTTGTTTATTTCCCATAGTTTATTTTAGCCCTCAAATTATTAAAGTGACTCTGTTCTACGTCCACTAGCCACACCATCCTTGGCGACAGGATCCGCTTCATGAATCCTTCAAGCAGTTTAACCTCCCATCTCTAATCTTCGTGGAATCACCATTTTGGAGACTTACTGCATATGACAAATTGTTGATACGTGGCCATCCTTTAACTGTCTACAACTGTCATAGTCGTCTTCTGTTTCACATCGTAGTTCGCAGGTGTCTCCTTTCCTGTAAATGGAGGTATATACGCTGTTTTATGTTATAATAATTGAAATAATGCACTAGCAAAATTTGACGTGCTTCATAATTTTTAAAAAAGAATGGATACATTTAATTGAGGGAAATGAAGTAACTACTACGCCTTCTAACTAGAGATACGATTGCAGGCATACAGCTTACAATACGGCAGTACATTCAATAAAACATACAAGCAAGATCTACAGAAAAAAATACGCAAAACAAAAACATAATTTTTCTTCGCCAAGTTTGTATAATTTAAAACGTCGAAGTCAGTGTCATAGTATACAGTCTATCATCTTGATTATAGTTTATACTTTTCACCTTACCATCCCTGTGGACAATTGCAATATCCGCAGACAAATGTTCCACCGTTTTCACAAATCGTGTTGTCAGGCTTTATATAATTTTCACATTCGCACGGCTTTTCGTATTCAAGACTCACTTCTATACGCTCTTGTATATTTTTTTCTTCAATAAATATAGTATCCTGAAAAATGACGGATTAGCCCCTATATCTGGCATATAAGGCAACTCCATTTCATATTATACATTTTTCTCTGAAATGATATAGCAAATTATTTCAGGGGTTTCCTCGATTATATATTTAACATAACGTTTTTATTTGCAAAAAGTGATCATCTAAGATGAGAGGTTAAGTAGAATAGCCTGCGGCTAGGCTTCGCCACCAGCATATTTGACATTTTTCTATATATTTGTATTTTACTATAATAAAAGCCTTTTATTATTAAGTATTATTATCTATAGAGCATCTCACCCAGGAGTTATTGGCTCCTATTTTGGCTGGTCTTTCAATTAGTGTTATCTGGACCTTGAAGTTTATTTCATTATTTTCCACATTGTAACATAAATTAGTTTCATTGAATCCTATTCCTTCGCAGTCCCCAAAAAATTTTATATCGATATGTGGATGTTCAGTTAAATTTGCAAAGAAATTCACCTGCCTGGCAAAATTGTGATAACCTGTAAATTGAGATGCTGATTCAGAACAATAAAATATAAAAAAGTTCATATTAACACCGGTCCGGAAGTGTTTGCTTCCTACAAAATTTCCGCCCGTCTTCAATAGTTCAGTTTTAGTGAACGCAAATGTACTGAAAAGATCACATTAACATACAGGGGTGTTTGAATATCAATATTTAAGGGGCGATTTTTGGGTCAATTTTAAGGAGAAAACATCATATATGATTTTATGTCCTAAACGTCTTGACTTTTGACATACAGGCGTGGTAAAGTTTCCAAAGATTAATCATTAATATCTGTAAATACCACTTTTGATATTTTAAAATTTGGCATGCGTGTACTATGTATCAAGAGGTGTTTTTATTGTATCTCATTTTTTAATTTCCACCTGTGTCGAGTTCGCACGGAATTGCATCTGCCTATTTTGGCAAACATTGACGGTACGGCACTGATTTCTCTTAAAATAATATTTTTCAGGTGGAAACCGTGCGTCACACTGAAAAACATCAAGTGATCAAATCTCCTCTTAAATATACGGGTGTTCCTTAATGATATGCGAATATTTGAGGGTGTGAATCTAAATGAAAAATTAATGTTAGTGTGCTTTATAAACTATGGTCCAAAAGTGTTTCCTTACAAAAACTCGAGGTGTTGAAGTTTTAGGAAAAAAATGGAAATTAATTAATATTTTCAGATCCGCTTCAAATATTTCACTGACATTTAAAGTTAATAAAGTTGCATATTCTTCAATGCAAAAATAATTTTTAGCTCTAACAGTGGCGTGCGTACGGGTATTGACTTTGATAATTTTTAGGAAAAAATAGTACGCCAACGGTTTTATGTCAAATAAAAGTTATTTTTAAATTCCCCGTTCAAGTTAAAACAAATGATCTCTCTTTTCCTTCGATGCGCTATTTTTGAGTAAAAAAATAAAAACCGTTTTATTGTCCGAGTAAATTAATGTAATACATAATTGAAGAATGCAATTTAGCAATAGATATCTAGTTGCTCATTGGCTTTAGACATCTGACAAGTCTCTGTTATTCAAATCTGTTCGCTGTGTCATCTCTTTCATTATTTAGTTTTTACAATCTTGTTAATAATCTAATTCACCATTCGGATGCAGCGGCCTTGCCGACGGTAATGGTGAGCAAGCCAGACGGATTTATCACCAGAGATATCCCGATCGTGCTTTGCCAGATAGTCGAGCCTTTTCTAATATTCATCGTCGTCTTGTTGAAACTGGTTCTGTCCGAAAAAGAACATCTGAAGGTAGACCTCTAAGTGTGAGAACACCTGAAATTCTAAAGTCGAAGAACATCCTGAAACGAGTACGAGGAAGATCGATAGAGCCTTAAATATTTACCTTCAAATTGTTTGGAGAATTTTAATGGGTTTTTTGTTGTATCCTTACCATATTTTAAGAGTACAGGCATTACTTCCCATTGTTTTTCCAAGGCGTGTGACCTTTTGTCAGTGGTATCTTCAAAAAATTACACAAAATACACAATTTGAATCAATAATTCTTTCTGTTCACGGACGAAGCTAATTTTTCTCGAAATGCCATTCAGAATTTCCACAATAATCATTTGTGGACACAAAAAATCCCTATGCCGTAACCGAAACCCATTTCCAACACCAATTTTCGGTTAACGTATGAGCAGGAATTATTGGCAAATACTTTATTGGCCCATTCTTCTTGCCGGGACGATTTGACGGACAGACTTACCTCAATTTCCTTCAAAAACAGTTGCCTTTGCTGCTTGATAATGTTCAGTTAGTAATAAGAAACAATATCTGGTACATGCATGATGGTGCATCAGCACATTCCAGTGTAGCGGTTCGTAATTATTTACAAACCGTTTATCCAAATCGTTGGATTGGCCGCGGTGGGCCCCAAGAATGGCCACCAAGGTCTCCAGACCTCAACAGTTCAGATTTCTTTTTGTGGGGCTATCTTTAGACACTAGTGTACACAAGTCCCATTAACACTGTAGAGGAATTAAGAGACAGAATAGTTGCAGCTTGTGATAGAATAAAAAATACTCCAGGGATATTTCAACGAGTGCGCAACTCTATGAGAAGGAGGGCGGAAGCATGTATACTAAGTGAAGGGGGCCATTTTCACCAATTTTTGTAATAATTTCGTTGGTTTTAATGTTATGTTTATGTTGTCAGTTGTTATTGTTCATTACGCCTAATATGTTTAATTTTTCCAATTAAATTAATAATAATTTTGCAAGTTGGACAATAGAACGGTTTTTATTTTTTTACTCAAAAATGGAAGGAAAACAATTCAAGAGAGATCATTTGTTTTAAATTGAACGGGAAATTTTTCTTAAAAAATATCGAAGTCAATACTCGTACGCACGCCACTGTTAAAGCTAAAAATTATTTTTGTATTGAAAAATATGCAACTTTATTAACTTCCACTACGTACTAAATATCAGTGAAATATCTGAAGCGGCTCTGAAAATATTAATTTCCATTTTTTTCCTAAAACTTCAACACCTCGAGTTTTTCTAAGGAAACATTCTTAGACCATAGTTTATAAAGCAAACTAACATTAATTTTTCATGTAGATTCACACCCTTAAATATTCGCATATCATTAAGGAACACCTTGTAAGTTTCAATTTTTTAACTATATTGAACACTCACGATCATGTATCTAAAAAGTTATTACGTTTAGAGAAACACGTTCATATGAAGTGTACATTCTTAAAATGCGCCAACAAATCGCTCCGTTAATTATTGACATTCCGTGAGGTATCACCCTATATATAAAATTATTTTCTAGTGCACTTACGTCAGTGGCAAGTCAATCTTTTGTAGTTCTTCGTTCTATGAAGTAAACATTGTCTTATCAGGTAATCCCAGTAAAAAGTAGTAATAGATCTGATGGTCGCTTAAGGAACACAACGAAGAGCACGCTTTTCAATCATATCAATATGGCTTTAAGATACTGTCTCTAAATTTTTGGGGAGAAACAGTGACATACTACTATCAAAGATGGACGGGTTAAAAAATTTCGGATCATGGCAAATGAGAATCTCCGGACCCATGTTTATTCCAGCTGTTTCAAATTTGACGCTAAGAGGTACGAAATCGATTAAATGGGGGCAAAACTGCGCATCTAGGTAACAAATAAAATGGCACTTGACAGTTTCACAATTTCGACTATTTCCAGAGTTAAACGAAAAAAATACGAATTTTCCCAAAATCGTTTCTATCCTTTTCTGACATTATTTTAGTGTGTGATTTAAAAATAAATCTATTTATCCAGCAAAATAATATATGTCGTATTTGGTGTTACAAACCTTTCTCTATAAGATCTATAATATGCTCATCAGCTACAAGTTCGCCACTAAAAGCAAAGTCTCGCAATAATTCCTTTCTAAGCCTATTATAATATTTCAGCTTTTCTGGTTTTTTTACAGCAAAAATTATGTTGACCTAAAACAAGAATATAGTTTTTAACCTATTTACCCAAACCTGGGATGTTTTTGACTTATCGTGAGAAAACCGGACTCCGGGGAGCACAATGCCCCGCACAATTTGAACACATATCTGGATGTTGTAAATATACTAAGTGACATATACATCCGAACACCCAGTTTAAATGGTTTTATTTTAATAAAATTTTGTATAAGTACTTAATGAAGCATAATAAGTAAATGATAAAAATTTCAAAATGATTGCACTGCTTTAAAGCCCTTTGACCTTTAATAATGTGTGGATGCACTCTGATGTGCTACGCATTCTCCAACGCGCCTAGGCATGCTTCTGATCAGGTGGTCAATGTCCTCCTGTGGTATCTCATTCCAGGCAACCACCAACTCCTCTCGAAGTGCTTCTACAGTCTGAGGAGGACGTTGCAAATTGAGCAATCTCCTACCCATCATACCCAACAAAATCGAGACTCGTCACTAAAGACAATACTGTTCCATTCCTGATCTCAGAGTGACCGTTGTCTGCACCACTCAAGGCGATTACGTCGGTGTTCTCGAGTTAAAGGGAGGACCCAGTGTGGCCGGTATGAAATGGACCTGGTAGTGGAGAAACGGTCCCTTAAGGCCAATAATCTTAGGCGGCGATCTTCACGGTCTGTTGTTCTACGGCGGCGTCCAGTGCCCCTTGCTCTTTGCGTACGGCCTTCTCGAAGCCATGCCTGACAACACCTAACCACAGTGTCTACACTTCTTTGCACTCTAACTGCAATTGCCCGAAAAGAAAGTCCAGCTTCCCGAAGTCCCACTATACGGCCCCTATCAAACTCACTAAGTTGACGAAATCGTACAGGTCTCCGTACTCTGGGCATTGTAACCGATCGTAAAGGATGTCAAGAACCAAAATCCGCCAACGTTGATTCTTTACTGCGGCTGAAATATTCATTTTTGGAGCGTTAGTGAATTAAAAAAAAAACAGTATAAAAACCGGAATGTCCAACTGATAAGGCTGAAAATTTTTTCACTTGTTATTTACAGTAAGATAAATACATTCACCAACTTTTATTAAAATAAAACCATTTAAACTGGGTGTTCGGATTTATATGTCACTTAGTATAAATACCAGATAGCTATTACAAACCATGTATCACATCCTGTCATAAGATACGAACAGTTCATCTTGGGAGCCCTTTACTACCGATCCACATGCTGAGATTTACAACATGCTAGGTTTGAATTAAATATTTCGGTCGTGCGAGTCTTGTTACCCTTACAATTTTTTACCATATTGGCCTCCCCCAATATCGGCCGCCCTGGGCCTGGTCCTACTGGGCCTGATGACTAATCGGCCTCTGCATATGTTTAAACTTTGGAGGGCAAGTTATACTTTTGACCAAAGTTTTGAAGAAATGAGATATTTTCAAAAAAAATATTACAGGAAATATAAATATGATGACGTAACATCTGAAATTGGTCTTTCTGGTTTTTCTTTGGCCTGTGACCCAATGGTTCAAAATCCTTGAAGGAAATATCTAATGAATACTCTCCAACCTAACTAATCGATCATGAGTCTTGATATCCAGGCTTTTCCTCATGGCTTGCTGTCGGATTTCAAACGTGTAGAAGTTCCCTTTTGCCATCTCAAGGCCAAACTGTTGTGTCTTATATTACTTTCTCGCAAGTCAAGCAAAATGGTTGCCTTTAGAATATGGCAGAAACGTGATGGTAACAAGACATGAATGAACAAAACTAAATACGAAAAATGCAATTTTGTTTAGATGGAGAATAATTCACTTTTATCTCATTAGATATAATCCTTAGTTATAAGCGAAAATTTTTTAATTCATTAACAGCTTTCCTATGATGATTTAATAAAAAAGTGAATATTATTCAGTGTTTCCTTACTGCTGAGTAAGTATAAAATATCAACATACCTTGCGATTCCTGAGCAAATCATGTATCTGCCCAATATCCGGATAATCATATATCAATGGTCTTCTGTGTTCTCCATTTTCATCGAGCAAGCATTCTTCTGTTGGCTTCCGTACAGCTCCAGCAAGTAATCCGTCACCAGCAGTATGCAACAGACTGTCGGTCGCCAAAACAATGATCTTTCGGGTATCTGGATTCCAGCCCACTCGTTTTCCACAAACCAGAATCTGGAGGATAGCATCCAGAGCGCCATCCAAATCATCAATGTTTGCCGTGGTTTTGCTGTCCGATACCTGACGTAAAGCAAGGTGTCAAGTACGAGTTTTGCATATAGACACATAGTAGGCCGCGCGGATTGAACGTCAGTACTGAATCTTAACCTCACTCTTTAGTAAACTTAAATTTAAAGTTTCACAACAATACGTGCAGTGTTCTCACTACAGTCAATTTTTAAGTGTCACCAAGTCGTTAGAAAAATGGAACTCAACCGAGAACATTTTCGCGCCATAATTTATTACAACTTTCAGAGACCATTATCGCAACAAGAATGCATTGCTGAGTTACCGTCTGTTTTCGGCAACGAAGCGCCACATCAGTCGACAATTTCCCGTTGGTATGGAGAATTCAAACGTGGACGGGTGAGTCTTAGCGACGATCCCAGGGTGGGTGCACCAAATCCGGCAGTCACCCAGGAAAACGTCGATGCTGTGCGAAAACTCATCATTGAAGATAGACATGTGACATACCGCGAGATTGAGGCGTCTGGTAAACGTCTATACTTTATTTCATACCTAAATAGCTACAGCCCTAATGTTATCACCATCTCTGTATTTAAAAAAAATATATTGCGCTGGTAGTCGTAATTGTTACATCGCATCGCTGGGGCGTCACTGACGACCTCTTCTCAGCTGTTCAGGTAACAAACTCGTCACGTGGATCTTCGCCCGGCAGCGGCACATTTTGTACGTATAATAATTTTTTCTTAAGGGCAAATATACGGGAAAACATATTTTATATTTCATATTTCCTACAGGTAAACCCCAATTACAGGAAAAGCTCAAATACATTAATAAAAAGAAAATAAAGAGGCACATTGAAAATTTAATCTTAGCTTCAATTTTCATAAGTAAGCTAAGTGAACAAGCGATGACTTCTAGCAATTGATGATGATTGATTTACAGCTGTCAGACTGCACATGCTCGCTAAACTTAAGCCTGCTATCGAAGGTTACTCCAAGATCTTTAAAAGAGTAGCATCCGTCTAGAACCGGACCGTTGATGTTATAGTCATCATATTAAATAATCAGCCTTTCTTGTATAAGAGACAACTTTACATTTAGAAACATTTAAACTAAGATAGTTTCGCGAGCACCATGGAGAGATTAAGTCTAAATTATCCTGCAACATGACATGAGGTAATTATTTATCAATTTACTCGACCGATGCGTATATCTTAACGTCGCCGTCGTCAGCAAAAACCAGATGCAAACACTTGAACTCAAGAGACAAATGGTTAATAAAGATCAGGAACAATAATGGACCTAGATTCGATCCTTGGGAAACCCCGGATGTGGCCTGATAATAACTTGACCACCATATTCAACAAACAACCTTCTGCTCAAGTATGAACTTATGAGCGACAACAGTCCCTCAGATAGACCTACGGTGCTAAGTTTCTCCAGAAGTACACAATGATCAACTTGATCAAATGTTCAGCTTAGTAATGGAATGGTTCACATTTTCTAATTGAATAAAAAAGGCCAATGGGCATACTATTTACCAAACCGTTCGATTTTGAAGCTCTAAATTGGCCTAACGTCCTCTATTACATTTTTCTTGTATATAAACTTATGTTCAAATTCTAACGTACTTTCCTTCATTTTTCTGGCTGGCAGTAATACACCGAAGCAGCCGCGCAGGCAAAAGCCCAAATGTCAGGATACCGGGACTGCTATGCGAATCCCAAAGTAACTTTTTAAAACCGATTTTTGAACTACCGAACTCGAAAAAGCCTCCTCTTGGAGATTGTTCCACAATCTTAGCACCCTAGGGACAAAAAGTTCGACATGGTTAGAATGGGAGGCCAAAGTCAGGCGGGTCTATCTGGAGCGCTCTGAGGAGCAAAGCCCGTTGGTGCAGTTAGATCGCCGACGACCCGGTGCGAACGGGTCCCGAAACTGTCTGTTAGAGAAGAGTCATCGATCAGTCGGGCAGCCTTCCTCTGGACAGCTTCGAACGTGAATAATGTAGTCGGGGCGGCAACACCCCAAGCCTGTGAGCAATACTCAAGGCTAGGTCTTATTTGGACCTTGCATAGAATGAAGAGGTCATGTGGAGAAAAGTACTTCTTGGCCCTAAACAAATAGCCTAGCTTTTTCCAGCAGCTGCCGCTATTCACGGGATGAGCGCTAGGACGCTTTTTGTTCGTCAAGGTACAGTACATAATGAACGTCCTTTACTTACCTTCTGGATAAACTTTTCCATATCGGGTGTAAAATCAAGCTTGTGTTTAAACAAATAACCAGTCTCGCAGTTATATTCAGAATTCAGGCAAGGATTTTCATATCTTTGGGCATCGGTAAAATAGAAGGGCATAGCAGTCTTATCCAGAAAAGATCCATATGCTAGACGATAGTTCTTTGTTAAGTTCGTAAGACTCTCCGTAAGTTGTTTTCCTATTTTCTTCAATGTTTCCAGATTATCCTTCATGGATACGCTGAGGTCGCCAAGGTAGTAGAGGTCCAAGGCATAGTTTTTGGCTGGTTTATAGCTGAACGTTACATTCTCGGGCTCCATATATCTCAGCCTTACTTTCACATTCTGTGGCCTGATTTGGATTTTATCTGTATATTCATCATTTTGTTCGATATCCACTCCTGATTGAAAGTTTCGTTCGAGTTTGTCAGCGTTGCAATCGAAAAGGTTGTTCATCGTGTTGCATCGTCTTCTTCCAATAGGATACACCTGCAAGTAAGAGGAAATGAAATAACAGAGGAACGTGCCCTAAAACAGACCCATCTCCTAAAGTTTTGTGACAGAATCACTACAAGTTGTACTATGTACGATACCGTTGTAATACAGCGTCCACGCTGTGTCCTAGAATTTTAGTTAGTTTTACTTATTCATATTTCTGGATGGTGATTGGTAACGACATACAATAATAACGGCTTTGCTCTTGTGAACGGCATAATCGATCATCAACATATGTTTGTTTGCTTGTTAGGGAAAGCACCGAAAAGGATGTTTGGTTTCTTAGATTGCATTCAAAAACTACATTTTGCATAAAAAAATTTGATCGTTAAAACGTTGTTTTACTAGATGCACATCATAGAGTGCAAATTAATTTAAACTTGTAGACTTGTAGTGTTTATGTAACAGGTCTTGATACTTATTGGCTCTGCATGCTTCGTTATTACCAAGCGTAAATAGTAGCTAAGGTATCTACCACCCCTTCGAGGAGCGCACCCGTACCTCGCGTCACATGTTGCTTGTTTATCCATCAATTTGGGTTTTGATAGAGGGACGGTTTTTGTGCAGTACTGCCATTTTCAATATACGTATACAAGGTGTTCCAATAAAGTTTTATAGATAAACTATAAAAGCTGTACAAGAATCGCTTTCGCTGCAAGATTGATAACACATAGGTCTGTATTTCTAAATAATTTGTGAATATGGTTTTGCACAATTCCTTGGTACAACAAACATATTTGAAGCACCCTATATTTTATAAGATATTTGGAAAGATCATTCCAAAATAAGAAAATTTATATTCTTACACGGTTTCGATTGTCATTTGTTTAGTTATTTTATCATTTGTCCGAAAAAATTTCTATCTTTGCATAGTTTCCATTGAATTTTGGAGAGAGAATGAAAAATACGTCAATCTTGAATGAGGAGTGCCGATAATATCATATGCTTATACAGGGTGTTTCAAAACGCAGAATGTTGTTTTTCCCAGATATTTTAATAATAATATATTTATTGCCCAACAGATACATCCATTTAAAGGACAATGTAATTGAATACCATTTGACGTTACAGTATTTTTAACTACAATCATAGCTCGCCCAGTTTCTGAAAAAAAATGAAACAAAAAATGAATACCTACACCTACATGTCTTAAATGTTATAAATTGAATAATAGTAGTCGCTGAATACAGCTAATATATCTTTGACTTTATCATGGTGAATGTGACAATTATCAGCTATGATGTTAAAGCTGGAGCACATAAAATACACGGGTGACTTAATCATATTTATAATTAGAATTTGGTGTTTTTAAGTAAAAAGCGAGAAATCTTCGGGAAATGCGGGACAGTACATGAAAATCAATTTTAGCTAATAAAGCTGAAGAATCAACATCACTGTGTACGAGTTTGTAAAGGAATTGTAACTATTACAAACTCTTCTCAGCTCAAGAGGATACATTTCAAATCTGAGCAACATCGCTGATTGGGGAGTCCCACGATTGGGATAAACACCATTCAATTTGAAAGTCAAGTATTTAAGAAATCTCCTCTATAAGTACACTTTCAATTTCATTAGTATAGATTTGGTAATATGGATGCCATACACTAGATGCATATTCCAGCTTAGAACGCACCAAGGTGCAGTATAAAGCATTCAGTGCCGTTTCACTACCAAACAATTTACAGTTTCTTATAAAAAAACCGAAACTTTTTATAACGGATGATACTATTGTACTAATATGACCTGTAAATTCTAATTTAACATCAAACAATAGACCTAGATCTCTTACTTCTGAACAACGCATCAAACTGATACCTTCCAGTGTATAATCAAAAACTATTGGTTTCGTTCTCCTGGTAAAAGAACAGGTTTTGCATTTTATAACATTCAAAAATAATTTATTAGTTGAACACCATTCAAATATATGATTCAGGTCAGCTTGCAAGATTAGACAGTCATCAATGCTGTTAATCTGAGCATATATTTTTGAATAATCAGCAAACAACAGAGAAGGACAGGTTAAGCAGTTAGGGAGGTCATTGATAAAATAAAGAAAGAGAAGAGGGCCTAAATTTGATCCCTGCGGTTCACCGGATGAGGCCGAGTAAGGTGAAGATTTGAAATCAATGTAAGAGACGTACTGATTTCTATCATGTAAGTAAGAAGAAATGAAATCTAATAAATGCTGAAGTTTATCTATGATTCTTTGGTGACTAATCTTATCGAAGTCCTTTGAGAAATCCATATAGACCACATCCATCTGACCCCTAATATAAACTGAAAAACCACCCCTCAGTTGCCTTGTAAAGCTTCCAAAATAGTGAAACGTGTCAGTATTCCCTACAACCTAATATGGAAACATCGTTGGTTTGAATGGAAGACTGCAGTTAAACAAAAAAATAACTAAACGCAATTTCGTCAGTCATTCTTGACTGATTCTGTATCCAAGAAGATAGCCAAGAATGGCCAGGATACAGCGGATATAGCCGAGATATACAGTCAAGCCACATGCTGCAATGTGGTCACGATGGTTGTCATAAATAGGTATAGCTAAATATTGCTACAAAAATATTACTCGCTTGAAATGAATGCCTGGAACAATCCACCATCCAAAAACAATTAGGTAATCGAAAAATATACATACAATGAATTAAATTCTGAAATTACACACTCCGTGTTTGCAGAAGTAAAAAAGTGAAACAATAACAATGATAGAAACATAAAAATGCACAAGAGCGATAAACAAAACTGTATAACAAATAAGAAAACTAGAGCTGTGCTCAAAGACATTTATGTAGAAAACTTTCAAATGGGTCAGGTAGGTTGTCTCTGCACTTAGGAGCCTCTGAAAGGTCAAAAACCGAAGTTTGACCGACGTTTTTCATGTTGTTAGTCGGACCTTCGCCGCCACTAAACCGATTTTAAAAGGCTACAAACCTTTTTCATCTTTGGCATGGTATTGACCAGATAAATCGACAGACAGATAGACGGAAACGAGTTACATGGTTTTTCGTGATACATGTATATCGTTTAACATCCAAAATATATATCTCAATTTCAAAATATTGAGAGTTTACAATAAACTCTCGCCCAGTGACTTGGGAAGTAAAACTGCGCAATATAAAATTTGGAAATTCCTGCGATCACCAGATACTTTTCTGGCTTCATGAATAACAAAACTGTGTAGGTGTAACTGTTTTAACCAATATAAATATAATCACTATGGAAATTATGAATGTGTATCTTTAAGCCTTGCATTTCTACAATGTACTTAATTATATATTGCTAATTTAACCCACACCTCAATTATGTCTCTTTCAAAACTATACACGCAGAAAATAATTCTAATAGTATGTTTTACTAATTACAATTTGTCGTAATTTAACAGCGAGCTGTGTAAGAGATATGGAAGATCGGCGGGTATGTACGAGTATACGTTGCACAATTTGAAATAACTAAGAACTTGTGCAATACCGTTCTGTGAATTTACCTGTTTGTCTTCAAAAAGTATTATGGAAACATGATGAGCAGTAAAATTGTTCGTTAAAATAAGTGGCATATGGTATAGGAATTGTACTAAATAGACTAGCTAAAAACACCGGTTTTAAGTTAAGAATTCTATACTTGTGCAGTAAAAGTAGCTTATATCAGTTTCCAACCAATGAAGTACGTGAAACTTGTATGTCAATAATTACTGCAATAATTTACTCATATGGGTGATTCTCCGTGAATACTATTTTTCGTGTTTCTGCCGATAAAGTAATAATACGTAGAAACTACTGAACGATCACTGCTGATATGGCAATCTAACAGTAAGAACATATTGTACCTTAATTATTTTTCCTTTAAACTGGAATAATTCTTTTTTATATCGGTTTCATGTCCGAAAAGTCATGGCCTCTGGCTGTTACCAACCCTATTTTCAATGTTCAACACTTTCAAGCAAAATATATTCTCTAAATAACGTTGAGAATATGTTACCCTGCCAAACACAGACCATTAGCAACATAAAAACTGCGCCCATGAAACAAATAGGAAAACAATCCGTTTCGCAATCAATGCATTTTCTTTGTTACCATACTAGAGTATCAGACCTCTGCCTCAAGCGTTTTGTTCAACTGCTCATTCATAGATGGCAGTAAATGGCTTTTTTCTATGAGAATCTATGCGGCAGACATCTTTGTTGAACCTGTATAACGTTTTTCGGCGAACGTTTATTCTATTTTGTAGCTTTTGATACAATGTTTGTGAGAAAATCAAGTGTCACAAACGACTAATCAGTCCACTGGTAAGTGACTTTTTAAATAAATATACATTTTGTACATTTGTTCTTATTGCTTACAGATATGTTTCTTAAATTGTTAGGTAAATGTGTTGAAAGTGAGGTCATGTTATGTATCTATGATACAGATTTGTACAAGTTTAGTGAAATGGTCAGTCCTCTGGCGTCATTCCTGGGAGCAGAGAAATGATCATTGTATTATCCCAGTAATATTAATTATAGGTAATAATTATAGGTTTTACAGTGATTAAAATTTATGGGTACACAAAATGGCGAGGTCTAGACAGACAACTCCACAAACTAAGGAAGATATGCTTAGAAAAGAACTGGAAGCAGAGAGAAGGAGGAATTACCACTTAAAACAAGATCCTATTGGTAGAGAGCAGCTTAGGCAAAAGGAAATAACACAGTACTTTGGAAAGGGACAAGAGAAGGAAACGGAAACAATGGAGGGAGTATTCAGAGAAGTACAGAAACAAGAAAAGGCAGATAAGGATTGAAAATGAAAGGCTCATATGTGCATGTTGATACCCCACCATTATCAGAAGAAGGGCGAAAACCGGGAGGTCTGCCTACTACGCCTGAAAATCACCAAAGGCTTTTGGGAAGAAAATGGTACGCAAGAAATAGGAAAAAGAGAAGCCGTGAAAATAAATACAAACACGAATTAATCAGGAAGCTACAGCTTAAGGTGCAGAAATACAAGCAAGGG